GACTTTACCGTCTTTCGGATGGACATCTCTGGAGATGTTGGACTTCCGACTTCTTCGAAAGCTTTGCTGCGAGAAGCTCAAGTGAAAATAGGGCCTAGGGCTGAGGTAACCTTTGAGTTGAAGCTGTGGATGGTAGGACCGTGCTCTTTTGAGATAGGGCCGTTTTTGCTGCAGTGAAGCAACCACTTCTTTGTGTGGGCAAGCTCATGAGAACCAACAGTCAACAGTTACCAACAGTTGACGAGAATCGAAACTCCATTATGCACCGAGCCGCGTTGCTGTGGAAGGAGAATCAGAGATTCAGATCGCTGCGCGAGTCCTGACCGTGCGCAGCAAGCGCTGCGCCCATGTCCGCCAGCTTGCTTGCTTGACGACAGATTGCGTGTTGCCGCAACACAGTTTGTGAGGTTGTGCTGCAGACACGAACCACGTGGCTTACTCAGGCCCGCCAACTTTGAATAAGCTTTCTGTCCTTGATTTCATGACTGCCTCAACGCTTGCTTCATGTTGAATCATGCAGCAAACACCTCCTGCAAAGCTGCTTTGGCTAACAGTGGACGCTATAGGTCAGCCAGTCAGTCGCCATGTCAACTCCTGAAAGCGGGATGGGGGCTGAGGAGTTGCTTGAAGCCCAAGCGACGGAGGATCCTTGCTGTCAGCCAGTTGAGCTTGAGGGGTCGTACTTCTCCCAGCTACGGGACGTGGTCGGCAACCTGTCCGATTCCGCCTCAGAATCAGATGCGAGAGCGGATGTCGACAACGAGGCGCGCAGCTCAAGCAGGCTGCCCAACAGCGAGGACTATGGCGCAGCCTCAACTCAACCCAACACCCCGCCGCAAGAGTCCCACATTTCTGCAGAGGGTAGTCCTGGCGGCCCAAGCGCTCCTCGACCCAGAGATCTCCTGGCCCCCCCCTGAGGGATGCGGTGTTCGGGTTTGATTTTGGAGATGCTGATGCCAAGTCCAAAGCCAGACAGAGCCTGGCCACGGACAGCGTGTCTGCCTCAGTAGACCTTTTTTCGTGCTGGTTGCGCGCACGACATCAAGAAGACCCTCTATGTCAGCAGCCTCTTCAATGGTTTGACAACGTTTGAGGAGTCGTATGCTACAATTCTCAACTGGCTCAAGGACATAGTGAAGGGCACCTACACCCATCGCAAGTTGGGCGCTGGTGTGGATCAAGATTTCGATCTGCGCCGCACAAGCCCAGTGCCATGGGTGCAAGCTATGGAGGCCTTGGCCTTACATGATGGTGTGTGTGCAGAGTCCCTCAGCCTAGCCTTCGATGCCAACTTGGGCTTCATGGAACATCATGCCACCCGGCTCTTGCATGCGTCTGAGTCTACACACAAAGGAGTCAGCCCTGCCCCATCCGCAATGCTGGCTTCTGCCGTGTCCAGCAAGAAATCTCACCTTGTCGATTACACAGATGGGTTCTTGGCGCAGAGCGAGCCCCTTGACGATGAGGGCAAGCCTGGCTACATTGCTCAGCGTGCCATTGTTCTTTCTGATGGCACTCTGGCTGGAATCAGAAAGTCGTTGGTGAACTACAACCGCGCCATTATCACCTCGTCGGAAGCTTCGAACACGTACGAGCGCCCTTTCTCCACGAAGAGACCAGGTGTTCACTTCCTCATTGAGCAAATCATGAACAAATTCACCCAGTCGGAGTGCGACGATGCTGCTACGGGCTGTGGAGTGGCGCACATTGGCTCTGAGCGGCACCCATACCTCATCCTCCACAAAGTTTCAGGACAGCAAGAGGTTGTCGAATCAATTCTCAAGCCCGTTGCTCATGGGTTCCAGAAAAGATTTTGGGTGGCCTTTGCTCCACGTGGTCTGCCCCACGATGAGTCTCAGCCTATCGCTGCAGCTCAGGAGCTTGTTCACGGCTTGCACAAGTGGATGTTCGACCGCGCCTTCTACGAGGAGCCAGCTGAGAAACACGTTCTTGACGGCTATGCCAGGACACTCTACGACGCCGCCAAGAAGGCTGTTGAGGACGTCAAGGCTGAGCATGAGATGTCCACATTCATGGTGGCAAAGCTGGACTTCTGTCACTCGGACTTGCTGCGTTCAAGCCACTTGGCGATGCGCAAATGCCAGTACCTGGCCAGCCTCTCCTCGTCTGCTCCAGGGCATGAGGAGGCGCTTCGTACCAAACCGAATGTGTACGAGTTTGCTATGGCCTTGCATTTGTGGCGGCGCCAGGTCAGCCTGCACTTTGGTTATTACCGTTGGATGGCTGGCGTGGGCCCAAGGATTCTGGCAGATGTTGCTGCTGGTCTGGTTGGCGGCTCTGAGTTACTGCACGGCGAGGGCCTCGCCGGCGAGGATTACTTCAAGAACAAAGTGCTCATGGACATGCCGACTGAGGGTTGCTTTGACACCAACATGGTGCGCATGAAGTTCCGCGGCGCAAAGCGCACCAAGGACTTGGCCAAGGCAGATACCATTAAGAAAATCTGTGAGGAGCTTGTGCAGTCGGGCTTGCTCCTCGACCAGAACAAGAAGGAGGACCCTGCTGCAGCGCCCAAACCCAAGCAACGGCAACGTCGTCGCGGTCGTGCTGCGCCAGTGAGTCCAGAGGCTGCTCAGGGCGAGCTCGACGCCTTGGAGCCTGAGGCTGCCGTTCGCAAGAAGGGCCACAAGGTCTATCGCTACAAGAAACGGCCTTTGTCAGAGATCCAAAGCGATGGGCGAGCGGAAGAGGCTTTGTGTGCAGCTCAAAGCGTTCCTCTGAGGATGCTGAAAGTTGGTGCGACCAGTTCTCGTTGCTAGGGCTAAGGGTTGGGTGGCGTGTTAGTTGGCCGCAGTCGGGGCCCGCTGCAGTGCTAAGCGACTGCAAAGGGCATGAGTAGATTGGGTTGCCCTGGAGAGGCCAGGCCTGCCATCTCGTAGGAACCAGCGCAGCTCGCTGTTAGCCGCTTCAGCGTAGCGTAGAAGTCTTCTAAGAACCAGCGTTGAGGGTAGCAATGCGCACGCGCTTGTAGAAAAAAGTTTGCAAGCCAGATGACATCAGCTTTGATCCACTTGTTGTTGGCCGACTCTTTCTGTACACATTTTTGTGCGGGATGAGGCTTGGCCAGGTTAGATCAAGTGAATTGTAGTGTATTCAGGAGCCATGCGGCGAGATGGCCGCGCTCGGGTGAAGGCGGACTCTGAACTCTGTCCGGTCTTCGTGTCCGACAGTAGGTCTAGGTCCACTAGCCTACGCTGTAGGCCGCGGAATCCCGTCCCCTCCTTCGCTACCGCAGTTAGCAAGAAGCGGATCTTGACCAAGATGATCGGGCGAGACCGCCTGAAACGAAGGGCCGCCGCTCTCCACACTTCAGAGACATCGCTGTTGGATGGCCCAGTCCAGCAGCAGAGGCATGACCATGCTTGCCCATCTACAGCGAATAGGCTGCTACAGGGCCGATCTGCAGGGACATGTTTGCAATTGATGAGTCTGCATCTGGTGCAACCTTTGACGCACGCGGCAGCTCAAGGCCTGCAGCCACAGCGCGGCTTGACAGCGCAGCTGTGCAATCAGCCGGTTTTCGTTGTGGATGTGTTTACGCGGCACCGACGCCGGCTGGCAGACGTGGCCTGCTTGCTTCCGCAGGAGGACGGTCTGTGGTTGCTGGGCAAAGCCGAGACAGTACATCAGGAAGACCTGCAAGACGTGGGTTTTCAATTCCGCCCAGTGAATGTGAAAGCCAAGTCTGTCTTGTTCGAGAAAGTTCCAGAGCTACAAGGGCAGGCTACGTTCTGCTGCCCAATATGGTGGCTGAAGCAGCCAATGTGGCCGCTCGTCATAAGGCCAACCCCTGCCTGTCCTTGCCTAAGCAACTCGTGCACAGTGAAGCAATCCTGGAGGTTGTGCCTGCAGCAGCGCAGGAGCACATGAAGAAGCACCCTGAACATAAAACGCGGCCTCGGTGCGACAAAGGCTCTGTGGATTTTGTATTAGACTTGCCTTTGCCAGTGCCAGTTGATCTGCGACCTCACCGTTGCCTGCGCTGCCGGGCAGATGCGTGCGGAGAGACTGCGAATTATTTTGCGGTGCAGAGATCTGACCTACGATCGGCCCTGGCCAGTAACTTTCAGCCATTTGGCGAGTTAGTTACGGGCTTGCGAAGCAGCGGCAGTTGTCTCTCTTGCGCAAGTCCATGTTGCAACCCCTTAAAATGTTTAGCAGAGTCTTTCGTAGGGCTGTGTTATACGGACCGGAAGAAATCAGGGCTGTCCCGCCAAGGTCAGCGCACGTTCTGCAGACCAAAAAAAATGGACAACTTCTTGTTACTGGGCGGTTCCTCTTCCACTTGCTGCTGAGCTTCTACGAGGATCTAAACCTCCATGCTCTGCGCCGTAAGATTGCGGACCTTTATTCAGCGAATCTCTTGGCGATGGCTGCTTCGCTGCCCGGGACAGATGTCATGCTGTGGACGATGTCTTCCATACCGCACACACCAGCCCTTAAGGCGCTCATCTTCCACTTCTTTAGGATCTTCGTGGAAAAGCGCGTGCAGTTGATGGTTGACCAGCAGATCCTTTTCAATGGCCAAGGTCTGCGGTTTGATGGTAACTTTGATGTGGCGCGACGTGTGGCGCTGTATCAGGACGCTGTTTGCACCACGCAAGTCAGTTTGTAGCTGAGTGGGAGAACTTCCAGACCAGTCTGTACCTCTCATGTCTAGCTGTCATAGAATGCCCTGTTGAGGATGGACGCTGGACAAGGCCATTCAAGGTTGCGTTCGGCTGGTGTGGTGTTGATGGCTCGCTCCTCAAGCCGGTGTCCCTTGCAAAGTCAGAGTCCATACCAGCCATTATGCCAGACCTTGATGCCTGGGTGGACAGGATGGTCGAAGTGAAGCTGCGACATGGTTTTCCGCTGCAGGACGCTGTCCCTGTTTTTCATGCCACAGACTCCTACGCGAAACACCGCCTGAAGCTCATGAAGTGGTATAAGAAAAATTCGACATCCTGCGACTCCGTGTGCAGCATGCCACGCCCAAGGCCGATGCTGCTGGTGTGGAAGTCTTGAAGGACGAGCAGTCGCCTGTGCCCGGGCGATTGACCATCACAGGGGATCCGCTTCACGAGGTCTTTGCTTTGCAACGTCTGGCCACGCCGGCGGCCAACGATTGCATCGATTTCCTCAACGATCACAAGGACATGCTCACTCGGCTCTCTGCGCCTCGCGGCACATGTGTGGCAAATTCAGAGCCCGAGGTGCAGCTGACAGACGCCTCTCGCCAGCTTCTCCATGATGTTGTCTGCAAGAGTTCAGGAAGCACGGCTGCCCGGATTGCTGCAAATGATGCAGATGTGGAGGCGCTGAAAACCTTTCCGTCTCAAGCAAACGTGCTGCGAAGGCGTGAGTGGCTACAAGTCTTCCAGGCGATTCCTCCCCGGGGGGTTGCTGCAAGGCTTGCCCGCCGATTTGATGTTTCGCTGCGCTCAACAGCCGAGTATGCGCAGTATTCCCAGTTGTCAGATTTCCGCGAGGAGATTGACAGGATGCAGGAGGTGTACACTCCAGGCCGCAAGCATGATCGACCGCAGCGTGGCATCCCGCGGGAAGAGGGCCCAGCTCCCCGCGTGAAAGGGACAGCCACTGTCTTCAACCAAGCAGTCCGACAACATTACGGCAAACTTCGAGGCAAGAACAAGTTGGAAGGGCTCTGGAAGTGGGCTCAGATTGCTGCTGCGATCCATGAGGCCCAGATCCCCCTGCACAGTGGGACAGTCGCGGTGGAGCGGCTCTGGTCGCAGTTTGACAGTTTGCTACCAGCCCAGGGTAGACGAGTGTCTCAAGACTGGTTCCAATTCCTTTCGCATCTCATTTACATACGGTACAATTACCTTCACTTTCATTCCAGATCTTTGCCATCCTGGACTGACAACGACAGCCTGCTGGCCCAGCGCCTAGATGGAACGATTGCGCTTGCCTCCGCTTTGTCAGAGGAGGGCACGGGCCTGTTGCAAGAACTGCCTTCTGAGGCTGAGGACAGTGCTCACTTGGAGGAGCCTGAAGACATGCTCGAGCCAGTTGAGGGTTCAGTTTTCTGGGATGCCAGCCTTGAGGAAGAGGCGTTCGGCTTCCCTGTGCCCAATGCAGTGTACATGAGAGTCTTGGATACAATGTGGTCAACTGCTCTGGCTGATGGCTCCAAATGGGCGGAGACACAAAGATACCGCAAGGCCAATTTGAACATGATGAAATTCGCTCAGAGTGGCATGCGGTTGGTCTTTGGGTGCAAGGCCGGTGTGAGTGGAGTTGCTGTCTTTGATGGACAAGTGCAACGTGGCTGCACGTCGGTGGACGAAAGTGGTGTCCTGGACTTTGTGCGCCCGCATCTGCACGGAGCTCTCCGAACATACCTCCAAGACGGCGCCAGCTTCGACTTTGTGCAGATTCGTGCCGTGCACGATCTCCGCGCCGCCAACCTGCGCTGGCAGCAGCTCTGGGACATTGACGGCTGCTCAAAGCCCGGGAATCTGCAGGGCTTCAAGAATATCGGGGGCAATCAATTAGCTAGATCCTTAGTGGCTCTGTTGCAGCGTCACGGCGTCCATAGGATGCCTTATGACTAGTGACGGCAGCCGAGCGAACCATTGCCGCAGCCTGCGTGTATCTACACGTGCATCCGTAAGCTCACACGTGAGCGCGAAAATGAGCCAACTACTTCTTGTTCTCCCGATTGCGCCTGCAGCTGTGCGTGCTAGTCTTAGCTTTTTCTGACCTTGATGCAGTCAACGACGGCAAGCTCTTCCTTGAGAAAGAACGAGTGCTTCGGACTCAGCTATGGCAGCTATGACCCGGTTAGTTTAAGACATTTGCGAGCATTTGCCCCGATTATCAACATGCACATACGGCTGCAGCGTGCGCTCACAGTCGGCAGGGTAGTGACGGGTAGTGTGTGGGGAACTGCCAGATTTGTGCGAAGCCATGGACGCGGCATAGACTAAAGCAGGAACCAGAACCGGCCAATGTTGCAACTGCAGACATCAACAAGTTAGCCGCTTGTGGGTGACAGGGACGTTGTTGCTACGGCATGCGTGAATGCTCTTCAACTTTCTTGGCCTGTTTTGCCTTCTTGCCTCAAGCGGCGCGGCGTAGGGACTCATACAGACGATGACCTGTCATCGGCACATCCTGTCGCCCAGCGAACCTCGTGGATGTTGCCCAAGAAGCCATCAAAGCTGGGCTTTTTTCAAAACCCCCACCCGCTGTGGGACATCACAGGCTATACCGCCCAAATTACTTCCTGTTAGGGTTTGGGGCTACGCCCTCAATTCCCACCTCCAAAAGATCGTCTCCCTGACTGGCTTTTGGCCCTGCTGCACCACTATTGTTCGTCGGCAGGGTCGCTTGGATTCGCTTGGTCTTGAGCTTCCAGCTGGTTTTTGATCCTGGTTATACCGTTATTGGTCGGCTAAATGTCATGTTTGTGAGAGCCTTTGATATAAAAGGAAACCCCCGATACAAAAAAAAAGCAGCTTACAATTCGATGCTTTGAATGACGATATCGCCCAATGGCGTGACAGATGTAGAATGCGCGCCGACAAAAGTTCAACCCGCTCGAATATCTTGGGCTCCCGATACATGGGTCCTAGGGCCTCCGCCCTCGAACTAAAATCCTTATTGATAAAGATTGTGGTTTCTAAGCGTGGCATAACTTGTGAACGCAGCGCGCGCGTGGCCTGGGTTGTTGGGCTGCAACCACATAGCGAGACGCTCTTGTGAAACATTGATGCAAGGCCCATTGAACCATGGCACCTGTGCAGGGAAGGAAACATGGGATAGTCATGCAGTCTGTCCTGCATGTTTGCCAGTTACATGTCAAAGTGGTAGCGGAGTTCTCGGAATACCCAAACTGCTTTGTAAACAGGTTGTATACGTGTGTAGGCACAGACCAAAAGCTCCGACACTCCGAGAGCGATGCGAGGGCAATGAAAAACAGAAGCCATGGCTAGTTTTAATTGTAGGTACGTGTCTATTGTCTTCGTGTATTTAAGTATGTGTGTGCATGTATACATACGTTTACTTTTTCCTTTTTTCTTTGGAAAATGAGTGCTTGATCCTTCCCACGGAGAACCCCCATGTGATGTTGAAAATCGAGTTCAAGCCTCAGGTCTCACGCAACAAAAAACAAAGGCAGTCTTTCCGCTGGGTCTGTGGCTACTCAGGCCCGGCCTTAGTTCACATTTTACGTCACTGGTCTGCTCTGGGACTGCTGCAGAAACATCAAGATATCCTAATTTTCGCAACCAAAAATTTCAGTGTTGTTGCAATAGGAGAAGATTTGTCTTGCAAGTAAGCACGCAGGTGTCCGAATTCTGTGGATTATTCCAGGGGCGGCTCGCATGCTGTGCGCTTCAAGCGCCTCTGGCGTCTCAAGCGTGTGGGCCGTCTCAAGCACTTGGAACGTCGCAGGCCTCCGAGGCATTTCACGTGTACAGGTTCTCAACGTTTAGAATATCGGTATGCTTGAGCGGCTCATGTCGCAGGTGGAAATTTTGTTCCGTTCATCCTGCCTTGCTTTGGAAGAAAGACTCTGTGCAACACCTGAGGCGTCTCAAGCGTCTCAAGCGTC